TAGGAACTAGCAAAGACTTCATGACAAAGTCACCAAAAGCAATCCCCACAAAAGCAAGCCTTGACAAATGGGATCTAATTAAACTTGAGAGTTTAAGTTTAATTACGTTTAAGGAAAAAAGAAAAAAAATACTTAAGAAACCATCAACAGACTAAACAGACAACTTGCAGAATGGGAGATGATTTTTACAAACTATGCATCTGACAAGGTCTAAGATTTGGCATCTATAAGGAACTTAAATTGCAGAGAAAAAGGAACAGTTATATGCTGTTGGTGAGAGTGTAAATTGGTTCAACCATTATGGAAAGCAGTGTGACAATTCTTCAAAGAGCTGAAAACAGAACTACCACTGGACCCAGAAATCTCATTACTGAACTTAAAATAAAGGTTTAAAAAAGACAAACTGCTATCAATTAAATTGCTGACAGTGTTTTTCTGTTATTCACATGGAGCTGCAAAAAAAAAAAAGCATAATTTCAAAACTGGTAGAAAATTGTATTGCTGACATTTCCACAGATTTGTGAAGTAACAAGTAAGAACATTTGAATTAACTACTATAATGGAACAATAGCTGAAAGGTATGTGTTCAGGCCAGAAATTGAGCAACTGCAGACAGAGTTGGGCACCACCTTGCATTTAGTATGTCAGTGCTGACATAAAGAAAAAAACAATTCAATAAGCCAGGGCACGGGCAACATATACAGTATCCAGTAAATAAGAAGAAAATCAGGACCAAAGAAGACTCACTGTACCCCTGAAATGTCGGTTCAGTAGAACTGAGGTTGGTTCAATAGAATTGAGGTTGGTTCAACAAAACTTGTAAATCTATATTTACAAAGTTTCACAGGTAATTCAGGTGTACCTCCAAGACCAAGTGTTTCCAAATTCCAACATTTATACCTATTAAATAAATACTGCACTCTACACTTCTGGAGAAAAGAAATTGTGCCACATTTTTCATTGAACACAATCATGGATCACTAAGCTCTCCTAAAATCCCTGAACTGGCCCTTTCTTCATTCTTTCCTCCTTAACTAAATTTCTTGAAAAAGTTTTCTACAACTTGCTGTGTCCCCACCTCACCTGTCATTTTTGTCTCAAGTGATTGCAATCCAGCTTCTATACGCACAACTCTAATGAAATTGTTCTCTTTAAGGTTATTGGTAATTTCTCAATTGATAAATGTGATGGGTAATTTTAGTTTCCATTTTTCTTGACTTATCCTGTCAGGAACAACTGTCATTACTGACCACACCCTCTTTAAAACAATCCCATTTTTTCATCTCTTCTTTCGATGTCTTTACAGGCTTCCCTTTCTCTTCTTGAAGCTTGATATTTGGTGTCACCAGGGTTCCATTCTCAGCCCTCCTTTTCCCATTCTCACTGTTCTCGTTAACTCATCAAGCATATGCTGACAACAGCAATTCTCTTTAACCTAGTCTGTTACTTCCTACAGCTACTTAATTAAGACTTAATGTCCAAGCTGGAATTATCTCCATCATCCTCACCCTCCTATAGCAGGACACCTGCTTTTCCTCCTCTTTTTACATAATTTGTAAGGCTTTTAAAATTGTATTCAGGCTACAGTTAATTGCTAATCTCTGTCGTTAACCCCTCAGAGGTCACTATTTGTATTTGCTTCTATTAAGAAATAATGAAAGGAGAAATGTCTAGAAGAAAAGGATAGCAAAGTCTTTCAAAAGGTAATTGACATATGGGGGCTAGTTTGAGAGGGCAAGGGAAGCTCTAACACTCAGTTGCTTCTAATACATCTAACTTATGAGTAGGTAGGAATCCAAAAGTAATCTAGGCAAAATAACAATAGAGACTGCATGGACTAAGGCCAGAACAATATCTGACCACTGCCTATAGAATCTATTTGTAGCGTATCTGTAATTTGATGTGTCTGATAATGATGTAGAGAAAACCATACATTGCCAGTGGAGGTGATTAGGGGTCCATTTCTTAGGAAGAAGTACATTGAGATTTATAATACACATTTCTACACAATTTCGGAAGTTCAATGTGATTGTTTTTCTGGACATTTGCTATTTCTCTTTCCATATGGCACAATAGGTAGGAAATATGTGATTGCTCATAAGCAGCAAACATTTACCACTACTGAAGATGCTTGTTCATCAGTATTGGTTCTTACTAAGATGATTAGAAAATGAGCAAGGACCTGGTATTGAGAATTCATGTTTCAAGGGACATTAGCTACTATTTATCAAGTGTTTGTTTGGTGCTGGCACTACACATGAATTTATCTCTTTTGATTCTCATAACTTCCCTGAGAGAGAAGTAATATTATTTCATGTCTACGTTAAAGTTAATGTAATTGAGCTTCAGCAAGGTCAAATAACCGGTCCAAGTTCAGGCAACCAGTAACAATTCTAGGTCTGTTTTATTCCAAAGCCTTTGTTCTTTCCTGTACGAAGGGATATGCTGCCTCTTCCGTGATACCAGGACTATGATTTTGTTGATGGGCTAGGCCATCGTTTGGTACCCATGAATCAGTCCTACACTTTATGAGACATACATAAACATTCATATGAATTTCTGTTTTCTTGATAAGTAAACATCCCTATATTCCTGCATTTCTGAATGAGGACTTATTATTTTTCATAGTTTTCCTTTCTATCAGACTTTCTGAGGAAGATTTATATTAACCAGAATCCTTGATGTCCCTAATGTGATTGCTTCATCTCTTATTAGTATTTGTATTTTCTAACATTCCTTCCTTTCAAAGAAGGTGGCCAAGTAAATTGCTGCTATATCAACCAAATAACAGAACTGGGACATATGTATTGAGAGATTTATTGCATGGAATTTGTTTATACAATTGCAGGACCAGCTAAGCATATCTGAACTTCATAAGGCAGGCTATCAAGAAGGGAAGGTTAGAACCCATGGGCGTGGGCACAAATGTAATCTCTTCTTTCATGGAACTCTCACCCCAACTTGTCTAGCCTTCCAACTGATTGAATCAGGCTTGGCCACATTAAAGTCAATTGGTTATGGACTTAAATCACATCTACAGAAACCACTAGATTAGTATTTGAATGAAGATGAACTGTACTGAGCCAAGTTGACACACCAGAAAGACTATCATAGTTACTATTACTACTTTTAACATTAGTAAATAATATTTATTGTGGTACTTTACATATTTCAATTTATTTAACATCTGTTGGTTACAACTCTAGGAAAATTGGATAAGGGCTTATTCATAAAAGAAAAAGCTGAGGCTCCGATAACATGAATTTATCTAGAATCACACATAAGAAAACAATGAAATTGGACTGGAAGCCAGGTGTCATGACCTAGTCTTGTCATCACACGTTGGTGAAGGTCACTGCTCCACGTATCCACCAAATGCACAGGATAATATTTATAAGGTGATACTATTAGAACATCAATTTGCAAGGCAAGAAAGTTTAGTTTCAGACAACTCTTAGGAGTGATATTAACCTCAGTATATTAAGTACTTGCTTATTGGTTTCCTCATTGATACTTGTTAGGAATAAAGAACATAATGAAAAGAAAATGCAAACTTACAACTATTTTAAATATGCTGTTTTGTCATCATTTTAAAATTAGTTATATTTTAAAACCTACCTATAATAGAATTTTACTTTTTTAAAATCTTGGTTACCCAGATATTAGAAACAAGGCATAGAGAAGATTAAGACTCCAAAGACCTTCAGAGGCCCTTAGAGTTTTCATTTATTCTGAGACATGTTCTTAATATAACACATAACAGATAATTGAGGTTAATGTACATCTATAATTGAAGGCTATACATAATTTTATAGATTTAAGCATCTATTTTTTATTTAATGGCTATGATTGCATCACACATTTTAAGACAATGTGTGATAAAGTTTAAATTTTCAAATCAAACAAATACAGGATTATCCTATGATAAATGGAATAATAGCTAGCATTTATTGAACACTTAGCATGCCTGCCATTTTGCTAGAATTTATAAAATACGACTGAATATTCCCAGAAAACATAGGTGGAAGCTATAGTTACCATGGAGGTTAAGAATATACAGCTGATAAGTGGCAGAGGAGCAACTGAACCTATAGCCTGTAGTCTTGCAAGCTAACTACCCCTCTGATTAACGCAGCCCTGCATGTAGTTATTCCTCAACATCCCAAGCTTTGCAAAAATTTGGTTTTGCTCACAATAACATTTTTTTTTGTATTAGTAGCAGCCTCTTCAGATGTCATTACCTCCTTCTACTGATACTATTCTACTAATTCCAGGCTAGTAAGAGACTTAAACACTGATAACTTTTAACACAAGTCTTTCATGGACTAAAAAGGGCAATGGACTCATCTTAAATAACCATATATCTTCTTCATTTCCTCATGTGTTCATTCATTCTCAAAAAGTATTTATTGAGATGATATACTACCCATTCAGCTAGGGAATGGGGATATGAAGATGAAATAGAAAGAATTTTGGCTGTCAAAGAGCTTGCTGCCTATTAGGGATGGTGCAATGAACAGTTACATAAAAGGATGAAGCAAGTGTAATAATAAAGAGGCACAGTGGTGCTATGAAGTCATGGAGATCCTTGATGGATAGGTCAGAATTACCAGGGGAAAGAAGGAATGCCTTCAAAGCACATAGAACACTATGTACGGTGGCACTGAAGTAAAGCAGAGCCTGGCATGTTTCCACAACACTGAGATATTCTCTGTGGATGAACCAGCAAAATCAGGGAAGGAGGTGATGTCTTTGGAATAGGAAAAGGTTGAGTTAACACTTGCTTGGGTTATAGCCAAATGTATCGCAGCACTGAATTCTGTTCAGCAAAAGTGATCTCCAACTTTATAAAAATTTAATTTAAAAATGCAATGTCTAGTCCGTGATGTTCACAACTACCTAATTGTTTGATTCTCATGAAAGCAACACTGGCTGAGATGCCCACCCAGCTGGGTTCCTTCCCTGTCTGTCCCTCCAGGGCTCTAAAACTCTTCCTTTCTCTAACAGAAAAAGCGGATGGTGGTTCCTGCGGCCCTCAAGGTTGTGCGTCTGAAGCCTATAAGGAAGTTTGCCTATCTGGGGCACCTGGCTCATGAGGTTGGCTGGAAGTACCAGGCAGTGACAGCCACCCTGGAGGAGAAGAGGAAGGAGAAAGCCAAGATCCACTACCGGAAGAAGAAACAGCTCATGAGGCTATGGAAACAAGCCGAGAAGAACGTGGAGAAGAAAACTGACAAATACACAGAGGTCCTGAAGACCCATGGACTCCTAGTCTGACCCCAATAAAGACTGTTAATTCCTCATGCTTGGCCTGGCCTGCCCTTCCTCCATCATCACCCTGGAATGTGCAGGACCCAAGGGCAGCAGCAGTCTGGGTGCCACAGGCAGCCTGGGACATAGGAATCTCGGAGCAAGGAAAGGGTCTAGCCACTGCCTGCCAAGGTTACTTGAAAGCACTCAGAGAATTGTGCAGGTGTCATTTATCTATGACCAATAGGTACAGCAACCAGTTACTATTAGCAAAGGGAGCCGGAAGACTAATTGGAGGGACCTTAGTTGTGAGTGGGGCATCTGTCTAACTCTCACCTGGTCGTATACTATACTGTGCAGCTGTTAGAATGTGCATGCGCTTGGGAACAGCATGAGCTTGCTGTTGTACAAAGGGTATTTATAGAAGCATAGACTGGGAAGATGGGCAACTCAGGGGTTACAGGCAATGCCCGTGCTCCTCACCTGTGTTTTGTGATCAGAGTCAAATAAATTACTTTTAAAGAAAAAAAAAATGCAATGTCTAACTCATTAAATTAAAAATTAGATTTTAAGGTAAAACATTGCCAACAATGAAATGGACCAATTAATCCGCCTGGTGGTCCAGTTACCTTTCCAGAAATCTAATAAGCTACAAAACTCACTCAAAATTCTCACATTTATTGATAACATCCAGACTCCTTGACAGATTTACCCTTTGTCATTTTCCTGGTATACTACCCTAAACTCTACGTGCACTTGTAATTTGTAGCTGGCAATGAAACTAGCCTGAGTGGAGCTGTTAGAAAGAATGACAATGGACACATATTAGGATAAAGTGATAGGTTTTCAAGACGTGTGGTGATCATGGGATTGAATGACCCTACTACTAGTAGCTTTCAACTCATTCCCTTCTACCTAGCCATAAATTGTTGAATTTTCAAATGTATTTTGTGATTATATTTGACAATGTAGATATTCAAAACTATTGAAAAAATACAATTCCAAATGGAAGTATCACTAAAAACATTACGGCAGTAAGCCAGCTATTGAGACAACGTGGAAATTCAACCATGCCTCTTCATGATAAAATCACTATTGGAATTACAACATGCAATGCTGTCTTAACCTTTAAAAATAAAAAGAAGAGGAAATTTTCACTTTAGAAACCATCCCAAGAATGACAATATCCATACTGCATTTATCTCTCCCTCAGTGGGTAATATTTATTCAAGGTTCCAATTGCTGCCATCGATGAAAAGTGCAGTCCCTTATCCAGTGAGTGAACCTCATAATTCTGAGTTTCTGCTGATTACCAAGAAAGCAAAAATCCTCTCAGTTCCTCAGCACAATCCATGCCATTTTGGAAACCGAATCTAGTATATCAGCAAATCTGCTTACAATCTCAAGCTCATTGGTGACCATCGCCAGTGAGTGCCTGGGTAAAGGGAGAGCCAGCAGCCCTCAGTGCCGTGAGAAAAAATAGCACCTTTTGTGATATTTTAAATGTCCAGGCCTTTATTTTTATTATAGTGAACTTTCTGCTCTGGCATGGTCCACAAATCTGGCATTTCAGTGCATAGCCCCATTAAAAAAAAAAAGAGAGAGAGACAGAGAAGGTAATGGTGTCAAAGCTGTCAGTGCTTATGAGATTTAGGGAGAGTCTGCATGAGATGAGTGTTTTTGTGGGCGTGAGTGCTTCCATTTCATTGAACTATCAGATATCTAAAAAGCAGCAAGAATACTTCCAAAACTGCTTCGATCACATTTTAAATGCCACCCCCTCACACTTCCTTCATTCTTCCACCTTGCAGTCTTTCCTCAGAAAAAGGATGCAGAATAAAGTTGTTGCCAGTTCCCATTTACTAAGCCTTAGGACAATTGCAAATGGTAATAAGAATGGCAGGGGAACTGCCCAGCAAAGATTAATAATGTCTTCTTCACTCTTCCTATCCATGGTGAGTGTCAGAAGTTTTCTCTCTGTGTTAGTAAAACTGTAATAAAGGTTATTACTTTTTCACACAAGTCAAATGTCACATACAAGCACACAGGACGCCCCACTCAGCTTGTGGTTAGCTACACCAGACATACAACTTGCATCAAAGCAATATTCTGAATTACCATAGGGAAACATTCCAAATATCTACAATATGAATTTTTTGAGCACCTAACATTCAGATGAAAAAAGCTACATGCAGAATTTTTTTTTGAAAAAGAAAGAAACCCTGTGACTCTGAGCTCAGCATGCAATAAATTAAAATAAATTAACTTAAAATATCATACTTATTTGAGCTAAACAGATACCGACATACTGAGTGTCCCTTCCTTCTTAACTTTTGATGCCAGCCTCCCTTACTGAGCTCTCTTCACTTAGAGCTATCCACTCCATCAGTCTCAACCAATTGTCCACTCATCAGACTTTCTCAATCTCCTTTGCTGACTCATTTCATTTTGCCTCTAAAATGTTGGTGCCCCTAGGACTCTGTCCTCAGCATTCTCTCTTTTTGTTTTGTTAGCCTTGATTGATTTAATTATCTCTCACAGCTTTAACTATACACCAGCAATTTCCCACATTTTCTCTTTTCTCTGACCCTGATCTCATCCCTAAACTGACACTCTCATTTGTACTGCTTGTATTCAACTAAAAAGCCTACAACTATTTTTCTAATTAACATGGACTTGTTGTGATCACTCAGCCCTGCCCTATCCCTATTTCAAAAATTAGTTAATACACTGTCAGTCTTCTGCTCACTCAAGCTAATACGCTTTCCTGCACGCCTCATATCTGATCTGTCATTCAACCTCTCAAGTCGACCTCCAAAACTGCTCTCAAATCCATACTCTCGTCTCTTTTCCCAGGATCACGGTACGGTTTAGATTTTAGTCTCTTCTCCCTGGAAGAAAACTACAACCTTTTAGGTAAATAGTTGGCTCCTAACATTTCTCTTGGCTCCTAACATTTCTCTCCCTTCACCCCATCCTTAGCACTGCTGCCAGAATCATCTATATGACACAAAGTTGTGTTCCATTCAGTTGTGCTCATTGCTTCACAATCTTACAGAATAAAATTCAAAGTTCTTGACATAAAGGCCATAAAAAGCTGACCCCAGATATGTATAATTTAAGCTCTATTACTGACCTTCAAGTATAGGAGCTTACACAAACATGTCGGGCACACAATAAACATCTACTGAAGGAATAAATGAATAGGTATTTTTAAAACAGGATTTAGCATATTAGTGCTATAAAATGTTCTTTTCCACTCAATGTGGTGAAAGCAAATAAAAATAATCTAACACATCTATCTTGAAATTATACATACAGAGCCCATGTCACTTTCCAAAGCTTCTCGAGATGGACCTTAAGAACATTTACCTCAGAGCTGACCCATGGATTCTCACTGCCACCATCACCAGCCTCTCTCCATTGGGATTTTGTCCCCATTGTGATGTTGTGAAGGCAGCAGGCAAGCAGGAGGCACCAGAATTTGGCATACGTCATGACAAGGACTCAACTCTTGGGCATTCATGACCATGCCTCTCTCTGGCCCCTGGGAGAGGCAGGGCTCTGTGAGTCCTGACAGTCAGGGACTATGCAGTTCCTGTTGAATCAACAGAAGCAGTAAATAATGTATAATGTGGTAAATTTAAAGACAGGGTGATGTACAGGAATGCATTTGTTGGCTGGATGGGAGGGGCTGCTGCCACTAAGTCCACAGCCCAGCAAATGCCTGTCTACACCTGGGCTGAGCCTTTCCCTGCACCATTGCTGTTGCTGCCCAACCAAAATTTGTTCCTGGCTTATTGTGATGGAAGATACCACTGTGTGACCCTTTGTGTTGCTGCAGTGGCTACATCAGAAAGGGATGGCCCAAGACCCAGGTTCCCCACCTCAGATCCCCATTCACATCAGAGCAGAGAGGAAATCCCACACAGAATCAGAAGTAAAGGAATAGGTTTCTGTTCATCCAAAGGGATAACCTAGAGTACATTTTTTTTTCCATTCACCATATCAATGTCATAATGAGTGCGATCTGTAGTGGATTGGAAGGTTTGTAAACAACGATTTGAGATATGAATCCAGAAAATCCAGTTCTGAGCAGATGCTCCAAACCAAGATGCAATGCTGCCTCTCTATTAAAAATCACAACAAAAGAGCTATTCATAACTAAGATCTGCACACTCCCGAAACCCCGCAGAGCAGAAAGCAGGAGCAGTTCAGCTAATGGGGAATGAGGAAAGCTGCCATGGAGATGCAGACCTTCAAGCTGAATGATTGCAAAAAATGAGTAGATACTTACCTAGTGGATGAGCGGCATGGGTGGGAGTTGGCGTAGGAAGAAGCCTGGGGGCAAGACATCCTGAGAAGAGGGAAAGACTTGGGTGAAACATACATAGAAGGATCCTAGAGCCACCTAAGAGCATCCTGAGGGAGATGAGAGGTGACAAGAGATGGGTCCAGTGAGAAAAACAGGAGGAGCCCATCAGAGAGGGCCATGAATGCCACTCTGGGAAAGGCTGACTTTACTCAGTGCACAGGAAGCAACCACAGAGCTTGAAACAGGAGGGCAGCACCTACTGCCTTGTGTACCTGCTATAGACACGTCAATCTGTGTTTCTGTGTTAGCTCTTCACTTGGAGTGTCTACTGACAGGTCTGTTTGCTGACTGTGTGTGCAAGGTAGACAATAGATCCAGGGGCCAGTGTTGAAGTGGTGAGACCAGTTAGAAGAGTACTATTGTAATGCAGGAGCTTGACTTATAGGGATGGAGAGCAGGGGGCCATTTTAAGATGGGTTAAGAAGCTGGATGCTAGGTTCCAGCTAGGGAAAGGGGGCAGCCAACAGGAGGCTGATGGAGAAGCTTGAAGAAGCTGCAAATGTGGAATAAAGACTCCAGCAACATCTGGGTTTGCAGCAGCTAGTTTTTTGACTCAGCAAGGGCTTATTGTCCCTGACAACCTCCATAGGATAAGGAGGCATACAGAATTGATAACTCACCAGAAGATTACCCATTTAAACCGCCAAAGATCAGATATTAAACAAAGATCTATCACCT